CTCTGCTGCAGCCATTCCCAGTGCTTGTCCCACTTCTCCATCATCTCCTTCTTCTTCGCAAGCAGCTTCTCCACATGGGTTTTGATCTGCAGGGATGGAGGAGATGGGTCGGGACCCCCCAAGAGTTGCAGTTCTCCCCTTTCCCTGAATGTCCACACCCCAGCCCCACCCCATCCCAGCACCTCGTCGGCCGCCGGGCTCTTGCTGAGGATGAGGGTCTTGCCCAGCTCCAGGCAGGCGGCGATGCTCTTGCCGCGGGCTTCGATCTCGCTCTTGAGACCTTGGTGGTCGTTCATCAGCAGCTCCACCGAGGAGACGTCCCTGTGAGAGGGGACGGGGGCTGGGAGGGCGGGAGGGGACAGGGATGGACACCCCCCACCACCACCCCAGCCCTGGGATGGGACAGGAGGTGGGTCCTTGGGGTGGGACAGGGCTTCCTAGATTTCATGGATGGGAGAAGACACAGATCCTTGGGATGGGACAGGAGATGGGTCCTAAGACTCAGACAGGACATGGGTCCTTGGGATGGGATAGAACATGGGTCCTTGGTGTTATGGATGCGACCGGAGGTGTGTCCTTGGGATGGGACAGGAGTCCTTGGCTCCTTTGGATGGGAGAGGAGATGGGTCCTAAGGATCAGATAGGACATGGGTCCTTGGCATGGGACAGAACACGAGTCCTTGGTACCATGGATGGGACAGAAGATGGGTCCTGGGGATGGAACAGGACACATGTCCTTGGAATGGGACAAGACATGGATCCTTGGCATCATGGATGGGACAGGACACGGTCCTTGGTTCCTTGGGATCGGACAGGACGTGGATCCTTGGCATCATGGATGGGAGATGGCACAGGTCTTTGGAATGGAACAGGACATGGGTGCCAGGGATCCTTGGTGCCATGGATGGGACAGGACAGGGGTCCTCCAGATAGGACAGGACACGGATCCTTAGCTCCATGGATGGGACAGAACACCTGTCCTTGGGTTCAGATAGGACATGGAGCCTCTGGACAGATCAGGACACGGGTCCTCCAGATGGAAGAGGACACAATTCCTTGGCTTCATGGATGGGCCAGGACACGGGGCCTTGGCACCACGGATGGGCCAGGACGCGGTTCCTGGGGCCAGCACAGGACGCAGGACCTCGGCGCAGCCCTCAGCTCCCGCTACCTGGGCTTCTCTCCGGCGCCGATCTGGCAGAGGACGCCGTCCATCCAGGCGAGAAGGTCTCTCACAGTGCCGACGAAGCGGATCTTATCGGCGATGCTGGCGACGTGGAGCCGGCACTCCTCGCATGCCGCCAAGAGCTCCTTCCACGCCCGTAGCACCTCCTGCTCCCTCCCGGCGATGGCCTCGGCGTTGTCCCCGGCGTAGAGGGTCCTCAACTGTGCCGCACCCTCTTGTAGCTGCCGGACTTGGGTCACCAACACCTCCACGTCGTGTTCGAAGGCACCCAACGCCCGTTGCAAGGCGCCGGCCGACGTCCTGCCCTCACGGGCTGCCAGTTCGGGCAGGCGTTGCCTTTTCTCCTCAATTTGCCCCAAAACCTCTTTGCAATCGTTGAAGAACTTGTGCAACTCATGAGAAGCCGCCAACATCTGGGCCCGGGTCTCCATCAGCTCCAGAAGATCTGCCCAAGCTTCGTTCACTCCGTCCTTCCATTCAGCGATGGTGGCGGCGTCGGCGTGCCCGTAGTCGATCAGCTCATCCACCATTTGGTTGACGGCGGCGATCCGCTCCTGCCCGACGTTGCCCGTCTCGCTGGCGAACTCGAGGAATTTCTCCTGGAGTAGCTGGGATGGGCAGGGATGGACAGGGGTGAGGGGTGGGCAGCACCAGGCAGGGACAGTGCCCAGGACCACCAGCGTGGTGCATGGATCGTGCCCAGGACCAGGATGGGGATAGGACCTCCCGGCACGGCGCAGGGATGGTGCCCAGAACCCCTGACATGAGGGCGTTGACAGTACCCAGGACCAGGATGGTGCCCAGGACCCCCGGCATGGGCCATTAGTGGTGCCCAGGACCACTAGCGTGATGCATTGATGGTGCCCAGGACCAGGATGGGGATGGGACCCCCGGCACGGCACAGGGATGGTGCCCAGCACCCCTGGCATGGGGCATCAGTGGTGCCCAGGACCAGGAGGGTGCCCAGGACCCCCAGCATGGGGCAGGGACAGTGCCCAGGAACCCCAGCATGGAGCACTGATGGTGCCCAGGACCAGGATAGAGATAGGACCCCCAGCATGGGGCAGGGATGGTGCCCAGGACCAAGACAGTGCCCAGGACCACCAGCACTGTGTATCGATGGTGCCCAGGACCACCAGTATCATGCACTGATGGTGCCCAGGACCAGGATGGGGATAGGACCTCTGGCATGGGGCAGGGATGGTGCCCAGGACCCCTGGCATGGAGCAGGGACCACAACAAGACCCCTGGCACGGGGCAGGAAGAATGCCAAGACCCCAGGCACGGGATGGGGACACCTCCAGGACCCTTGGCATGGGGAAAGGCCAATGCCAAGACCCCCAGCATGGGGCAAGGACCTCACCAAAACCCCTCACCCAGGCCAGGGACTTCACCAAGTCTCCCCAGCACAGGATGGGGCCAACTGCAGGACCCTTAGGATGGGGCACGGACAACACCAAGACCCTCCTTGATGCATCTCCCAACTGACCGTGACATGCTCGAAGTCCTGCCCCAGCTCCGGTGAGCCGGCTACCACCTCCTTCTCGGCGATCCAATGCTCCAGCTCGTCCACCTCGCGGCTGAGCTGGTAGAGCCAATATTGCTGCTCCAACTTGGCCTTGCGTTCCTCCACCAGGTCCTTCAGAGACACGTACAGCCGGTCAACCTGCGACTGCCGCCTGCTGACCTGTTCGCTGGGCAAGGGACACAGCGCCCGGTGAACGCCAAAGACCCCCTCCCCGCACCCCAGCCCGGCATTTTCGGGTGGTTGTAAAGGTGGGGGGTGAGAGGGGTTGCACCCACCTTTGAGGATGGCCAAGCTCTAGAAGGGCACGGCATTGCCGGGAGAGTTGGGCGATGGTCTCCTCGTAGTTCTCCACCGTTTGCTCCGTCAGGAGATGTTTCTTGAGGAGTTGGAGGGTGCTCTGCTCATCCTTGGGAGATGGGGGGAGACACACACCCCGGGGAGGTGAGATGTTGGCTTGGGGAGGTCTTAAACTTCTCCATCCCCTTGAAGCCACCTCATCAGCACCTTCCCCTTCTCCTCGCTCATCAACAGCAGCTCTTGCTCGCCCAACCACGACTCCACCTCGGCCACGGCGAAGTAGTACTGCTCCAACTGGTAGGTGGCATCCAGGGTTTGCTGCCGCCGCTCCGCCTGCTCCTGCAGCTCCCCCCACGTCATCTCCAAGCGCTCCAGAAGACGTCGGACCCCTTCGGCTTCCGGGCTTTTGATGGAGGCGACGGCTCCGGCACGTTCCAAGACCTCGTCCACCCGAGGACGATGGACCTGGATCTCCCGGCGGAGGTTCTGGGGTGGGGTGGGGTTGGAGAGGAGGTGGGTGTGGG